AAAGTTTCAGATTAATTAACGATCCTACACTAGGGGAACATTGTTACAAAAGCTAGAATAACCAATCAAAAACGAAGTATAGAAAGATTCAAAAGCTTGACAACGAAATCCTGCTATAATAGCTATTCAGATCTTTAAATACGTGTAATATTAAAAATAATTTATACTAACTAATAATTATAAAATTATATGATAAAATTTAATATTAAAATTAAAAACTGGCAATTTTTAAAATCCAAATTTAATCACTATTAAGTTTAAAAACTACAAAATTATTGAGAAAAGAAAAAATATATATGTTTATTCAATTCATTTCTTCATTGAAATTACGTTCGACAAGACAAGACGCTACAATACATCCGGTCATTTGACAATACATGTATATATATATTTTTTCTTTTTCCCTTTCTTTTCCGTTTTTATTTTAAAGTTTGTGAATGTGGTCTTAAACTCACGCGTAAAAACAACAAAAACACAATCAGATTACAATACATAAGCACCCAGACATAATTAGATACACACACACACACACAAACATACACACACACTTTGTATTGAGCACTTTTTAAGAATAGTAATTGTTGGTTATTGGAATTCATTCCGTATATACTAATTATATACTTTATATATATATATATATATATATATATATATATATATATATATATATATATATATATATATATATATATATTATGTTTATACGTTATTTCTATAGGTATAAATATTTAGGTAAATGTTCTGTTTATAATAAACAGTATTAACAACATTTACTAGCCTGAATTTTAACAGAGCATTTACTTAAATATTTTATCTATAAAAATAACGTATAAACAGAAAATATATTAAAATAATTGTCCAACTTAGTCCATATCATATATATATATATATATATAAGAAATATACATAATATCTGAGTTTCATACGTTCTGTATTCTGCTCGCTCGTACATTTACCGATATTTATCCATTTGATTTTATGTGTATATATATATATATATATATATATATATATATATATATATATCTATATATCTGTGTGTGTGTTTGTATATATATATATATATATATATATATATATATATATATATATTTCTATGTTCCGTCGATGTGACTAATATTCACCAGTGAATTAAGAGCATCTACAAGAACATAAAATGCTGTTTAAAATATTTGTTTATTTGCATTGTTCTCGCATGCACACACACACACACACACACACACACACACACACACACATATACACACACACACATATATATATATATATATATATATATATATATATATATATATATGTGTGTGTGTGTGTACAGAATGAAAGAGGGGAGAGAGAGAGAGAGAGAGAGAGAGAAATTACAGCAAGTAGTGTCAAATTTAATCAGTTAGATCATTAAAAATGAACCCACCCCACAAAAAATCAATCATGAATTTGAATTTATACTTACTTTTTTGCTTTGTAAAAGACATACTTTTGTTGGCTCACATTTTAAATCATTGACAGGTCATTTTCTATTTTAATATGAGTGTACTTCTGGTTGATGAATAGACATTTATGGAAATCTGACAATCAACTTTTATTATTATTATTATTATTATTATTATTATTATTATTATTACAGCTGCCGTAGAATCGAGATGCAAACAAAATGATGTGGAATGTAAATATTTGATAATAATACATTTTGCAAGATGTAAAGCAGACGCGAAAAATAATCTAGAAAATTGACTGAAAAAAATGAAGATATGGAAGTAATTTTGTAAATGGAGTTAACAGATGACGACATTTTTGTTTGCCAATAATCATAAAACAAACATGATGTTATTTCAACTCTGAAAGCTTGCTGGTAGGGTCGGGTAGCAACAAACGACGCTGATCAGTTGCCGTTCCTCATACCCTAAAATATTTCAATGAACACTAGAATTAAATTCTTCTTCTTCTTCTTCTTCTTCTTCTTCTTCTTCTTCTTCTTCTTCTTCTTCTTCATCATCATCATCATCATCATCATCATCATCATCATCTTCTTCTTCTTTTTCTTTCGTTTTTATCATTCATTACCATCATGTCTTTGCTACCTTTTTTATTTAACTCTCAATAATTATTTTTATAATGAACATTACAATTATTTTTCTTATATGTCATGTTTCAGCTCGGCTAAATAGGAATTACAAAAATGATGTTTTGTCATTTGCTCAGATTTATGGAAGTGGATCGGGCTAAGAACTTTTCAGCACACCTCGTATGAACGCTTTTGATTCTTATTATTATTATGGTTTAATCTTGTTCATCGATTTCTCTTTTTACAAAAGTGATCAATATATATGCTCTGGCCATATTCTGTTTAAGAATGTTTACATAAAACTTTTTTTTTGTGACATTTAATTATAATCACTAGTAGAAATGAGTGTTGCCCATCTTACCAAAAAAGTTTTCAAAGACCTCAAATTTGGTAAGATAAGTAATAGTCGCTTTTACAGAATCTTTACTATTTAACTTAAAGCTTCTTTTGTGCCCTGATCCACTAAAAACCATCTCAGCTTACAAGAATTCTCTGCATTTACCTTGTTATCGTCAGTAAATTTGAAAGAAAATATAATCATAATCTCTATAATATTAGCTCAAAAATTTATTATAGCTCCCCATTGCTGTTTTCTAAATCGTATTGGTTAACTATTCTCATGTAGAAAAAGTATGTTAACTAAGATATCAACTCCATTAAATGTAGCTTGATATTTAACACGAAAATCTATTGTTGAAAGTCAGTTTTCATGTATTTCCTTGTTTATTTAAATGTATTAGCTTGATTGCTTTCATGTCTTTAGCCAATGTACCTGCATTCAAAATACCTGCTTCTTCAAGAAATTTTCTTGGCAGTCAAATCGCTGTTATATGTTATTACCATATTAATTTTTCTAAAATCGCTTTTGGTGACATTCTTGATTGAAACCATTTTTTTTTTGTTCTCGTCTTTCTGATATTTACAATTTCTTTGTTGATCCTTCTGTGATCATTGGTCTATGCTTTTAATTTCCCAAATTGTGTTCCCAGTACTTAACCACATTA